TTTTAAAGATTTAAATAATTGAGTAACAAAAAGAAAATATTGACACTTGTATAGGGATCAAAGTGAAATTTTACCAAAAGTATGAGGGGTTAACAGTTACAATTTCATGTGTAGGGATCAAAGTGGAATTTGACAAGAAGTGTAAGGGGTTGATTGTTATAATTTCATGTGTGGGGACTAAAGTGAGATTCGGTGCAAAGTACAGAGTAAAAAGTGTAATTTACCCCCTAATCAAGTTTATCATCAATTTATCCAGCTGCATCTTGGAAATATCACACTGGTTCTTGAGAAAACAATCCTTACGTATGTTCAACAAATTAAACATTTTATCTACTGATTCGTGATGCAAAAATAGTTGTTAAGAGAAATTTCAGTAACAGTCCAAATTTTATAATGGACGGTATTTTTGTCCAATTTCCTACAAAAAATTGGATAGAAACGATGTTGACATAACTAAAACATTGGGCTTAAAATGAAACATAGCGCATACTTTAGAAACCAACAGTACATTTAACCTATATGCAAATATGTACTTCATGTATCTGCACATAGAAATCTAGTCATCACCGGCTTGCATTTGGAGCAACTCGGATGCAACATGCATGGTAGGCCGAGATTGAGGATCAACATGTAAGCACCATAGTGCTAGGTTTACAATAGAAGTTAGTTCATCTGCAATCTTTTGAGTTGTAGGAGGTGAAAGACGAGGATCTAACACATCTTTAAGTTGTATTTTTTGATCCACCAGTGAGGTTAGATTTGAAATGAGAGTTCCCGGATGCGATCCCATCAAAACTTCTAGTGCCAAAACCCCAAAGCTATACACATCACATTTTTCTGTTACTTCCATTGTATATGATAACTCTGTGATAAAAAAGAAAGAACAAAAATAAATAAATAAATAAATTAAAGTAGTAATTATTGGATGGTAAACAAGTGATTGTTCTCATAGATAGATCTTGAAAACAAATATGAGAATTACCTTAAATGGTCGTTTTCAACACAATTAGTACTAACATCTCATATACTGAATGCATTTTTTTGAAACAATTATTAAAGAAGTTTTTGATGAAAACAAATTCATATAGTATTTTGATAATAGTTTTATCAGCCATTATGTATTGTATTGGCTTATATGTAATAGAATTTTTGAGATCTAGTACTATTATTCACTGATATCGAGCGATGCATTGCCTATACCAATACATCTCCCAATACTATATATTATTTAAAACCATGATTTCAATGGATAATTTTGCTCCTACTCTCAAAAGAAAATTTTACTATTTCATGAAAGAAAGTCAATCCCTATATAATTTTTTTATAGAATCCATGATGAGAATGACCCTTTAATTTGATTTTTTTAAGTACCTGGTGCAATGTATCCGTATGTGCCTGCGATTGAAGTCCAATTCGAAGAATTGGGCTTCAGAAACCTTGCAGTGCCAAAATCTGAGACACGAGCCTCGAGTTCTGAGTTCAATAAAACATTCTTACTTGATATGTCTCGATGAATTATTGGAGGCACGCAATCATGATGCAAGTATAATAAAGCATTTGCTACACCTTTAACAACTTTCGCCCTCTTATCCCAATCCAGCTCCTTTGCTTCTTTCTCATTGCTTAGAATATCTGCCAAGCTTCCTCTTTCAGTTGTGGTTATGATTCATTAGTAAAAGTTATGATTTGTACTATCAAAAGTTATGATTTGTCATGGTGAATCATAATAAAAAATGTTACGATTCAAATGTTATGATAATTAATTTGAAATAACTATATTTGTTATGAGTTGTCATTATATTGTTATGATTTATAGTGTCTTTGTTATGACACTTAGGTGAATATTATGACATTGTTATGATTCATTGTAGTATTGTTATGATATTTGAAACAAAGTTATGATTCTTTCTATAACCTGTTACATGACCGGTTTAGAAGGTCACTTTTTGTGATATGGCACGATATGAACCACACAATAAGTGCATATTATATGCCCTTTTATAAGGTGCACATTGTAGACTTTCCCTTAAGATTATACCATAACTTTTAATATTGTATGATGAAAATGGTAATATTTAATAAGTAGGAATTTCCTTTAAGTTATATATATGTTTTTGCAAGATTTAGATGATTTTTGAAATCATCCTTTGATTTATTTTGAAAATTGATTGTTGATTCAAGAAGATAAGAGATTTTTTTGAAAGTGGGTTTACTTTCTTGTTCCTTTTAAAATAGAAATTGAGGGTTTTGAACTATAAGGATTGAAGAGAGATGTTTTTGGTGACTTTCTTTCAATAAATAAAGATTAGTGGTTTTGGTGAGAAAACCTAAAAATTAGAAATTTTTAAGAAAGATGTTGTCAATCTTTAAAGATGTTATATTTATTTTGTGTGCCAAAAATAATTGATGTTTGAAAAATTGTTTATTTGTTTACATATAAATGATGGTTTTCATGGAATATGAGAATTGTTAAAGTTTTGGAAATTGTTGTTAAAAATGTTGATATAGTCTTGAAGTGACTAAATGGTTGAGATTACTCTACGTGTGGGAATTTTGTTGTCTCATGGATGAATTGGAATAAAAGTATTTATATTCATACTGAGAAATTATATTGAAATGAGAAATGAGAATTTTGATCACAATGGGAATATTGTGTGGAAGTATTGAGAGTGGAAGAAATATTGCATTGTACTATTAATCATTGCATTAGCATATCAATTCATTTGATAATGATGAGTTTTGAAATTTGATTTGAAAACTTTGTATTGAGAAAGTAATGTTGGGAAACAAGTTTTCATAAAATGATTTTGGGATAAATACTGTAACGCTCCAAATTTCTAGCCCAAATGATAATACAACAATCATTGCTCTTTCAAGGAAAACCGAATATAAATCTCCAAACTTACATTACATGATACAATAGCTCTTCATGCAACAATACATTAATCCAACAAGAAGTAAATAAATAAATAAATACCCCCAATGGTTTACAAGTTTCCAAGGCTTGAGCCTGGTTACACAAAACGGTTATTCAAACCAACACACATGTAGCCCTTGGTTTATACACAGAGTCACAGCAAAATGAGAGTCTCGTAGTCTCAACACACATTTCCTCACCTTTAGTTATGCGGCATCACCACATCTTTTCCTGCACAAAAATCCCGTAGGGTGAGCATAAAGCTCAGTAGGAAATCCTTAACAAAGTATATACATTTTATACAAGTCTCAAGAGATGAAATGCACATCCCATGCTATGCCCTTTTTGAAGATAAATCACATTTTCATCTTTTGAAAACCATCATGCTCAATGATGTCATGCAATTTCACTTGTTCAAAAATTAATAATTTATTTCAAGGGCGGTAAATACGACTTTGGTAATCCCTAGGTCAGTGTCTACAAGTAGACTATACAAGTACTACCAAATTGTCATTTTTACTAGTATTAATCGAAAGGCTCGACACCTATCCATGCGGGTTTTCGGTCTTTCACCTCGGACTCTCAGGCCATCTTATTCAATAACATCTGCATCACATATTAAGACTCACCAACGTATTTACCCCAAAATCATTTCATGAAAACTTGTTTCTTAACATTTTTTTCTCAATGCAAGTTTTCAAATTAACTTTCAAAGTTTAATGTAATCAAATGAATTGTTATGCCAATAACACAAGATGAATATAAATACTTTTATTTCAATTCATCATCCAAGGAATAATACAATTCCCTCTTCTCAAGTGTCCTTAACAATTACTCATTTCAAGACTATTTCAACATTTTAAAGAATAATTTTCAAAATGAATAATAATTCTTATATTCCCTGAAATTCATCATTTATATAAATATAAATAAGAATATTTCCAAACATCCATTTATTTTGTCACACAAAATAAATATAACAACATCATTCATGAATTGTCAGTCTCTTTAAAAAAAAAACCCCAAATTCTAGGTTTTCTCACCAAAACTATATAACTCAAATCTTTTGAAACAAAACTTTTCAAAATCATCTTTTCTTTAATCAACGAAGATCAAAACCCATAAGATCATTTTAAAAGAACAAGAGACAAACCCATTTTCAAAAATCACTCAACTTCTTGAATTAACAATCAATTTTGAAAGCTACCGAGTGATGATTTTGAAAATTATCTCGATCGTGCAAAAATATATATATAACTCTAAGGAAATCCCTACCTCAAGTTTTGAAGAAGAAATGAGATGAAACCTCCAAAATCAACGGTGTTGAAACTCGATCTTAACCGCACACAACAAAGCCCTCGAGATGATAACCAACTTTGGTGAAGAACTTAGGTCTAAATCCCAATGGATTTGGAGAAATCAAAGAGAGAAGATGACTTCTAGAGAGAGAAGCTCCTGATTTGAAATTTTGGAGAGTTTTTGAAAGAGAGAGGACTGAAAAAGTGATCTGAAATATCAGATTCACGAACTGATATAACATGGTCTGCTCGAGCGTGGAAAGCCCAGCTCGAGTGTCAATTACACTAACCTAGTACCTTTGCATACAGGTTAAACTTCTGAAACTAAATATTCTCCGCTCGAGTGCATAAACGGCCGCTTGAGCGGACAAGAAACTTCGAATACATTTTGCATTTTTGCTTCGGGGGTGCTGCCCTTCACCTTCGCCAGGGTGTTGCCCTCGAACTCGCCAAGGGGCGCTGACCCTGGAGCCCTGTGAGCTGACCGGGCAGCTCGATCCCCAACCAGCCCAGTCGACGTGGCAAAACATGAAAGAAAGATTGAAATTGGGATCACTACAAATATGGTGGTAAGTCTTGAAAGGTGGGGTAGATGATAGGTGTCGAGCCTTCCAGTTAATACTGGTAATGATGTCAAGCCTTCCAGTTAATACTGGTAATATGACAGATTACAGGTGTCGAGTCTTCCAGTTAATACCAGTAAAAATGAAAAATTGGTAGTACTTGTATAGTCTACTTGCAGACACCAGCCTAGGGATTACCTGAGTCGTATTTACCATCTTGAAATTTTATTGAAATTGTTGGATTAATGTGTTTTCAAAATGGCATTATGTGTAAGATTTTCAGAAGATGAGAAAAATATTTTGAGCACGACATGGCATATGCATTCATCACATAAGACTGCATAAAATGGATTTGATGAATTGTTTAATTATTTGATTCAATTGATAATGAGATAATTGAATGAATTGAAAAGGATATCTTGTTGCTATTGAAACATGTTTATTTATTTAAGTTAACTTGTTGTGGTTAATTAAATAAATTGGATTTAAAAGATTATGTAATAAAATTATATGGTTTTGACATGATATGATTTCATGTATATGTATGAGTATTTTGGTACCCACATATCTTCTAATGTTTTAATATGAGATTGCTTGGTGAGCTAGTAGTTGCTCACCCCCTGCCTATACATGTGTACAGGGAATGCTTTTCAGATTTGAAGATCAAACAATGGTTTTTACCATTTCATAAGTGTAATGTAGTGATGGATTGTACTACTTCATTTGTTGTTTGGTTGAGTGCTATTTTTTTTTTTTAAAGAGTAGTGTCCTCTCTTTTGTTGTAAGCCTCAGGGCATTTCTTTTACTCGCATGTAAATGTCATTGTTGTATAATGAGAGGGAATATGTATATTTAATTATTCATCATTTCATCCAAGGATGAAATGTTATTTGTAAATGGACTTAACTAATGAATATTGGTAAGGTTATCCGAGTAATAAAATACAGGGTGTTACACTATAGCTCTACCAAACGGGCCCATTGAATCTCTCACCTGAAAAGGCATCAGAGTGAGAGAGAGAGAGAGAGAGAGAGAGAGAGAGAGAAGCTTGTCTCTAGTCCTTAATTGGATTAGACAGTGCTATTCTGTCTGTAGGGATACATCACGGGTCTTGTTTTGATAATTTGAACCGTTCAATATGTAGAACTTGTTGAGTACCATATGCATGTAAAAAATCACGTTGATCGGATATTGATAGCTATGTGATCAAATCAATTTTATATAAAAAAATAAATGTTGAACAAATTAACGATTGAGGCAAGCTGCTCCCAATCCAGTTCGATTAAGGATTGGAGGCAAATTGCTCCCAAAAGGAAAATGCAGGAATCACTCCATGATTCCAAATTTATTTTGAATATTGTTAGCTACATATTTTGTATAAGCCAATAACAGTTCGACACGTGGCAAGATAAGGGTAATGCGGGAAAACAATTCAAACCTTCGATCGTAATCGTACACGTGGCAGTTAGTATTGGTTCTTATAAGATCTGCGTAGCACTAGATCAACAAAGAGATGCAAAATGATGTGGCTTCAACAGTTACTCATATTTAAATTCAAAATTAGGAGGGAAGCCTAACTACAGATATTGGCAGAGTGGAGCTAACTATAAGGCAACGTGATCAGTGATCATGGAAGGGCAGTTCGACGGTTAGAAGTACAGTTTGACGGTTTTCAGTGAGAAGTATAAATAGTAGAGAAGGCCCCAAAAAGTGCCCCCAGACTCAGATCCAAAAAACCAGTTTTATTTACTTTATTTTTCTTTCCAGTTTTTATATTTCATGTTCTTTACATTTCTGTACTTCAAATTCCTTGTAACGCCCTCAAAATAACAACATTAAACCCATCAATAAAG